AAGTTATAGGGCGTCAAGTTGTTCAACTGTCCAGGAATAGTATGAAACAAACAGACTTTGTCAGAACAGTAGAGTACTCTCAGTGCACTTTTTCCAGAATCCTGAAATGCCATCGAACTATAGGAAAGGTTGTTTCAGAAAACTCTACTGGTAGACGCCAAAAAACTGCTGCCCGAGATGACCATGTTTTGATCAGGTTAACACGTCAAGGTCGAAAGAAGTCTTGCAACAACTTACGAAAGGAATGTCATAAACACATTAATTCCAGGGTATCCAGAAGAACAGTGAATAGGAGACTGACAAAACAATGTTATTTGCAAGAAAGGCTATCTGCAAACTGATATTAACCAGAATTCACTGCCATCATCATGTTTCTTAGGCAAACAGCATGCCAACTTACAATTAGGACATTGGCGACATGTCATCTTTTTAGATGAATCCTGTTTCCGGCTTGTTAAAGCTGAATGCAGGATTCGTGTTCATCGTTTGCCTGGAAAACAGATGAAGAATGACTGTCTATGCTACAGGGAACACACAGGAGATGGTCTAGTACATGTTTGGGCAACTATTCATCATGGTGGAAAAGTGCTCTTTATATATTCCAGGGAAACGTCAGTGGGGCCTCTTACAGACTTCACGTGGAGACGATATTTCTGCAGTATGCTAGGGCAAGGTTTGGCAATAACTTTGTGTTCCAAGATGACAATGCCACTGCCCACAGTGAGCGTATTGTATAGGATTATCTCGACCAGGTGGATGCTACAAGATTGAAATGGCCGGCAAAGTGTCCAGATTGTAATCCCATTGACAACTGTTAAATAAATCTGAGCCAGAAAATTGCTAACCACGACCCTAAACCAGCTATTTTAGCTGAATTGCAGCGCCTTCTATTGATAAGTTGGGATGAAATCATGGTAGATTACATCAATAACCTCATTAACAGCATGCAACGTCTCTTTGTAGAGGTTATTAGAGTACGAGGAAGACCAACCAAGTACTGAATAAGTAATATGAACTAATTGATATAAGGTTACAGACACTATTTATAATAATTCGATGTTATATTTTTTCATTATATAGG